GAGAGAGAGAGAGAGAGAGAGAGAGAGAGAGAGAGAGAGAGAGAGAGGTGTATGTGTGAGCGGGAAGAGGGAGGGGGAAAATGAGAAGAAGAGTTATAGGGATCTGTGCCAGAGTGTGGGTCGTCGAGCACTGTGCAGTAAGACAGGACATCCAATGGGTCTAGCTAGGCTCAGCTCTGTCTAGGGTGAGCTCTGTCTCTTATAAGCTGTGTGACTTTGGACATAACTCATAATATCTCTGAGGTCAAAATGGAGTCCTGTCTGCCTCCTATAAGTATAAATTGTGACAGGAAAAGGAGGAGAGGAGAGAGAGGGGACAGCTTTGGGCAGGGTCTGATCTGGACAACTGGGAGGAGGGTGAAGAGTGCCTGTGGGTGTGAGATGAACTACAGTGCAAACTGGAGAGGGGGCTGGGGACAGAGGGAAAGGGGAAGAGTGGCCCAGGGTGGCTGCCTCAGTTTCCCCACAGAGGATGGCCTTTCTGTCACTTAATGGTGTCTTTGCTGCCAAGAGGCCAGCTGCCAGGATGAGACAGGACTCCTGTCCCCCAATCATTACGGCAGCACCAAAGTGTCCCCTAAGGCGACCACTTCTTTTCATGATCTTGGCTCTACTTTTCTAGTACCACTGTGGCCTGCCAGCCAAGTCTCCCACCCCCTTGCAGGAAAGTGGCTTCTCTCCCTTGCTGGTTGGCAGCAGACACTGGACCTGACACTGGCCTCTCCACTCTCCCCCCCTGGCTCCACAAGTCTCTCCCAGTTGCAGGCTCTGGTTCCTTGAACTTCCAAAGATAAATAAATAGTGATTGCAAATGGAGGAAGGGAGAAGAGGAATGGACTCCCCCAGCAGGAGCCCTGGAAAGCCTGGCTGAGACTGCATTCCTCAGGAAAGGGTCGAGCAGAGCCACAGCCCACAGGCGGGGCTGCCCATCCAGACCTCCTGTTCTTGCAAGGAAAGCTCAGGGAGAAGAGGAGGAAAGGGCTCTGGCCTGGGTCACACAGCTTCTCTGTGACTTCCTTTTGCTAACTGAAGACACTGGAAGTCTGGAAAGAAATTCTCCAGTTTCACCCACTCTCTGAGGATGAATAGAGGCCAGATGACATTGACATGAGAAGGAAGGGAGGCTTTCCTGTGGGTGGGAATGAGGTGCCAAGGGGAGAGATTCACAAACACTCCTGCCTTGATGGACTTCACATTTGGCTTCTGTACACACGAGAGGTAAATGGAATAGAGGCCATGTTCCCATTTTGTAAGTATGGATGAGGAAACCAAGTCAAAGAGCTTGGAGTCCAGGGGTGGAGGCTTACCTTATATTTTTTATTTTTTTACAGCACTGGGCATTTAACTCAGGAGTACTTTATTACTGAGCTACATCCCAATGCTTTTTATTTTTTGAGACAGGGTCTCTAAATTGACCAGGCTGGCCTTGAAATTGCAATTCTCCTGCCTCAACTTCCTCATTAGCTGGGATTAGGCATGTGTCACACTGGACAGACCTTACCTTAAGTGCCCTCTGAATCACTCAAAGACTTTCCCATAGGATGCTTCTTGCTATCTGTACTCAGAGGAGTGGAGGGGAGTGAACAACCTGCACATCAAAATCTTACTTTATTTTTTAAATTAATTTCTTGTGGAAGAATGAATCTCACAATGGTGAGATTCACTGTGATATATTCATATATGTACATAGGAAAGTTATGTCAGATTTATTCCACTGTCTTTCCTATTCCCATCTCCCCTCCCTTCCCTTCATTCCCCTTTGTCTACTCCATTGAACTTCTACCCTCCCCTTATTGTGGGTTAGTGTCCACATATCAGAGAAAACATTTGACTTTTGGATTTTGGGCATTAGCTTATTTCACTTGGCATGATCAAAATCTTATTTTAAACTGGGCACAGTGGTGCATGCCTGTGGTCTCAGTTACTCAGAAGGCTGAGGCAGGAAGATTGCTTGATCCCAGGAGTTTATGGGCAACACAGTAAGACCCTGTCTCTTAAATAAAATAAATAAAAAGCTTCATAGTTTGAAGTTTGAGATAGGATGATTCAAACTTAGTTCCTGACCTCAGAATATCTGACTAGGGAACTTGACCAACAATTCTCTTCCTTCATTCCTTCTTTCCTTCCTTCCTTCCTCTTTCTTCCTTCCATCCTCTCTTCCACCCACCTCCCTTTCTTGTGTTAGGGGTTGAACCCATGGCTTCATACATTCCAGGCTCTACCACTAACCAACACTCTTGTCCCTTTAATATACTTTAATAAGAGGTGATAAGCTCTTCAGTGGAGGTTGGGGTAAGGTACTATGATGATAGAGTAAGGCTGAATTAATTCTGACCAGAGCAAGGAGGGTACTTACCAAAAGTTTAAGTCCAATGAGGGTAGAAGTATAATCCATTCCCTTTATTAGATCTTATTCCATAAGGGTCTGGGGGTTCCCATGGACTGTCTTCTTCTGAAAAGAAGCATGGTGTCCTTACCTAAGTTCTTTCCCTTATTTTTTCATTTAACATAATGGAATTTCAGTTCCATCCATGTTGCTGCAAATGACAGGATTTCATTCTTTTTAATGGCTGAATAATTTCTTCTTTAATTTTTAAATGGCTGAATAATACCACATTTTCTTTATTCATTCATCCATTGACGGACACCTTTCTTGATTCTGGTTTTCTCTTTGGTACTCAGGATTGAACTCAGAGGCTCTTACCACTGAGCCACATCCCCAACCCTTTTAAATCTTATTTTGAGGCAAGTTCCCATTAAATCCCTTAGGGTCTCATTAAGTTGTTGAGGCTGGCTTTGAACTTTGATCCTCTTGCCTCAGCCTCCAAAATAGCTGGGATTGGATTACATACAGGTGTGCACCACCATGCCCAGCTGATTCAAGTTTTCTATGGCACCATAAGATAACCATTGGTTATTGATTATGATATTCTATGACACATTTTTGTCTTTTTTTTTTTTTTGGCACTAAGGGTTGGGAGATTGAATTCAGGGTACTCTACCACTGAACAATATTCCTAGCACTTTTTATTTTTTGAGACAGGGTCTTGCTAAGTTGCTGAGGCTGGCCTAAAACTTGCTATTCTCCTGTCTCAACCTCCTGAATCACTGGGATTACAAGTATATGTCACCATGCCCACCTATATTTCTGTCGTGTGCACGTGTGTGCGCGTGCGCGTGCACGCGCACGCATGTGAGGTACACATTCTGGGGAGAGAACCCAGGGCCTCAAAGATGCTAGGAAAGTGCTCTAAAACTAAGCTACATCCCAGCCCTCATGATATATTTCAAAATAACTAGAAGAATGTGAGCACATAGGAATGATTAGTGTTTAAGGAGATGGGAGTTCTTATTACCCTGATTTGATCATTATACATTATATACATGCAATAAATTATTATACTTTACTCCATAAAGATGTATAAATGTTGTGTCTCAAAAATATAATAACTATTCTTATTTGAAAAAAAATTTTTTTTTCAGTACTGGTGATTGAAGCCAGGGCATCTTACCACGGAGCTACCTTGCCTATCCTTTTATGTTGACTCAGGTTCTCACGAAGTTGCCCAGGCTGGCTTTGAATTTGGGATTCTCTTGCCTCAGCCTCCCAAGTGGCTGGGATTACACAGGCCTGTGCCACCTCACCCAGCTAAAAATAGAATTTTTTAAAAGTCTGTCTTTGTCAGGTGTGACTGCAGCTGGCCATTTGACTGAGTACTGACTATGTGAGAGGCTCTAGTTCAGTACGTTTTACAAGACTTAAGTCATTTACTCCTCACAACAAGATGAGGACAATTATTTTAACAGAAAGGGAACCAAGGGGTGCAGAGACATCTGAACAGTCACCTCCCCCCAAGTATATGTACTGGTAAATGAGAGAATTGGGATTTGAACACAGGCACTCCCGGTACCGGTATCTACTATTTTTTTTTTTTTTTTTGCCCCCAGTGGTGGGGATCAAACTTATGCATGCTAGGCAAGCACTCTACTACTCTCAGCCCAAGGTCCAAAAATTTAACAGTCATTCTCTAGAAATTCTTGGGAGGAAAACAACTCTCAATTCTCCAACAAGTTCCACTTCCCTTGAGGTTTGCTCACTCTGATTCCCTGGCTCTCTCTGAACCAGATGTTTAAAGATGTCCATTTCTAAAGCAGAGGTGGTAGTAGAGCCAGGAACCCCCCCCCCCACTTCACTTAATCCCCAGCAGAGCCAGGGAAGGCAGAAACTTTCCAAAGGAGCCTCACTATGAAGCTAGGAGATAATAAGGTGGTGAATAAAGAACCCGGGAAGGGGGCCGGGAGCATAGTTCAGTGGCAGAGCCCAT